CTAACAGTCACCTGGTGAGCAGAGGACTCAGATCCAAGAGTTAAGAGCTAGAGAATGAAAACACCAAAGGACAGACAGGAAGAATGTGCAAGAGCAAAGTAGTGTATCAAGGACGATGCGCTTGGATTGGAAAATCATTTTGCCAGGTGAGTATTCAACCTTAAGAACTAAATTAAAAACCGAACTCAAGATCTTACCTTCTAAGTCATCAATGCTTTTCTCCAATTTCGTTACAGACCTCTCTGCAAACTCTGCCCGAGTCTCAGCCTGTAATAATTTGATTTGTTTCAGTCAAAACTGTTAAGTTCTACATTTCTGGAAGCTACACATTAGGGAAACTAGAGAATGAAAATTAAGTACAGCACCCGTAAAATGGATCCAAAACTATGTTTCAGTCACCACAGTGAAAGGTGGCAGCCAGCACAGCGTATTAACTCCAAGACCACCTCTGAATATTCCTGACTTGGATCATCATAACTCGAAAAACGAAAACACCCTGACCAGCTCTGTAAAGACGGATTCATTTAAAATCCAGTTGGCTTTGTCCAAGACACTCATGATATTACCTCCTTCAGCTTGTCCGAAAGGACCTTGATTTCTTCCTCGTATTTGTCTTCCTTCTGCGAGTACTGTAATTAGAAAGAGTGTTCCAGATGTCAGGCCTCAGTTCACTCTATACTCGGGTTTTCTGACACAAGGAAAGCGCCAGCCCAGCCAACGGATGTTGAGGATTTCTTAGGAGGTAATGGAGCCTCGGATATCACATGGCATACTACAATACACTCTCTGTTTTCTTGCCTATTGTTTTACATGGGATACGAATAAGATATCTCAGCCACTTGGCACTTGGTTTGAATTAAATTGTTACAGATGACCCACCTACTCAACATAAAATACATTCTCTTATTAAAAATGGAATGTTGTCCAGGAACCATCAGAAAATCGTCTCAAAATGATGCCATCTGCTAAAATGCCTAGTGGACTACTGCTTCCCTTTAGCAGGGCCTCAGAAGCGAAGAACTGGGTCTCTTCTGAGCAACTCCTAAAAGATGCCTTTGCCCCCACACCGTGCTCCTGGCCTACCTTCTCAGCCTGAGCCTCCAGTGACTTCAAGTTGTTCGTCACAGTTTTCAATTCTTCTTCAAGCTCGGCACATTTGCTAATTTTTTCGATCAGAGGCAGAAAGGTTGGGAGACAAGCCAAAGGAAGGAGGAGAGAAAAAGGAGAGGGATGGGAAAAAATGAAAACCAAGTCCTAGAGAACAACGGGCTGCCTTAAAGTAGCCAAATTATCAGGTACTAAAATGCTCAGTTTCACCAAGGACACTGCCTTTCAACCTTGCAACAGCAGAAAGGCAGGGTGACAATTCAACAACTCTGAAGTGATAATTTGGCTTCTTTTTTGGCTGCACCAAAGAGCATTTATGAAGGAAAAACAAAGGAGTGTAAAGGGCCCAAAGGAAGCACTTAAAGCAAGATATAAGACAGCAGAGGGTGTAGTGAAGGTGCAGTGGTTATACCAAATGAACCAGTAGACGTTGGAAGCTTAAAGATGTCTGAGTTGCAGTTAAACCTAAAAACCATACATGAGCCATCAGTACCTTATCCTCTGCAGCCATTAATGCTTTCAAGGTCTGATCCATTATTCTTAATTGTTCTTCCAGCTGTCGAACTTGGCTGTTAGTGGACACAGGAAATGCACAAGGCCATTCTCAAAATCAGTGTGCAGGTAAGGCATGCAGTGATACACGCATTCATACACAGACACCCCAAATGAGTCCTCGGTGTTCCATACTCGTGGCTCATCCATGTCAAATGAGCATATAAGGAGCCCAGAGCTGAAACGGGTCAATGTGCAGCTGCCAGAAGGTCATGCTGTTTAGTCACTGCTCTGCAGCTCCCCACACCCAGCCTCCTGGTGCTGGGCCTGCTTACCTTTCTGAGAGCTCGGCCCGCTCCTCTGCACGTTCCAGGTCGCTCTCAATGATGACCAGCTTACGGGCTACCTGCAGCAGGACAAACATAGTACACATACACACCATGGGGCTTGCAGCTTTGAGCAAGGGGGGTGGAGGTGGGGAGTGGATCCATCAGCCCTTACAAGTTCTTATCTACAAATAAGATGATCCTCTTTTCTGTGGACTAGAGAGAAGCAATTCTCCATCAGGAGGGTCAATGGAGAGGAGACCAGAGGCTTTTACTGTCAAAGACCCAGAATGGTTAACTTATGAGTGGGTAGCCTCATTTTAAGACTGACCCACGTGAAGTCTGTATAATTACATAGCAGCCAGACCAAAGTGTGGAAGGAGGGAGGCATATGAAATACACAATCTCAAAAATAGCAGTAGGAAGATACATGATGCATTTATGCTGAAAAGGTAGGGGCTGTCAAGAAAACACTGAAGATAATCCTAAGAACTCTGTCAATTTAGAGCTCTAAACCTCCTTTTTGTGAAGGAGACTAAAAATGCCCAAACCACAACCAGGGAAGTGAGCAAGAGATGAGCTAGTGAGAGGATTAGTGAGGTCCACTCTACATTCAGTGAAGAAACCCTGAGAGGAGGGATCCTCCGAAGCATTTCAAAATTAGTAGGCAGAATCTGGGAATCATAATGATAATGATAGTAATAATATAATAAAAATAAAGGAGAGTCAATGCTGTTTCAAGATAGTCAGGATACATTAAGGAAAAAATGAAAACCTTTACAGTCACGTTGGCTATTATCATAGGAGGTNCTCCCTGGACGATGGCATGGTGAAAATGGCCTCTCAGTCTACTAAGTACACAGTCTGTGTCTCTCTGCTGCCTGCCCCGGACCATGCTAGGTGAATCTCACCAGGAAGAACTGTTTGCACAGTGGGCACGAGAGCCTCTTCCACAAGGCACAAGAGGCCCAACTCCCCCTTCTCCTGGCCAAAGAGCTTCGGTCCTGGTCTCTGGGCGGAGCTTCCATGTCTCCCAGCGCTACTGATTGGCTGCATGAGAAAGCCTGGGGTCCCCTAGCAAGGTCAACCAAGTAAGAACGAAACACCCATTTCTGCTAAGGAAGCAGATCATTTCCCTGGAGAATGTGAGGCTGTTCACACTGCTCCCTGCACCCCTGCCCCAGGCCACGAGCAGGGAGTCCATGAGGCTCTGGGCCCCCGGATCTGACCTCTTCATACTTGCGGTCGGCATCTTCAGCAATGTGCTTGGCCTCTTTCAGCTGGATCTCCTGAATTTCCATTTTCTCCTCATCCTTTTGGGCTCGGCTTTCAATGACTTTCATGCCTCTGAAAAGGAAGACAGGCCGGAAGACCTGAGATGCAGAGCTGACCTCCACAAACCCACACTGCCCTGCAGAGGCTTGTGAGGCTTCCTGTCACTGGCTGACCAAAAGAGAGCAGACAGAGACTTTCATTTTCCAACCTTTGAAACAAGAGTTTCCAGAGCTCAAGGCAGAAAGACATGCACTTCTGTTTACTGTGAATAAAACCTCACATTTGCAGTACCGGTGAAGCTGTCCAGGCATCTAATATTAAATGAAAGATACACATCAGGACCCCGTTTGAAACCGAGAGGCAACAGGAAACAGGAAAAGCCGACATGCTTTACTTGCCATATAAATAATGGGATATTTTCCCTTTCTGGTGGGAAGCTTCTAGCTTGAAAACGGACAAAAGTTAGAACCAAAAGCAAATTTATCTTATTTCTTCCTACAAAGAAGACAGCTGTTCTCACTCCATCAACCACAAATGTTAATATTAGATTGAGCCGTATGAAATTGCTGATATTTGACCACATCAGGACTCAAAAAATGGCAATTTATGTGAGTCAATGTACTACTTTAGATAACAAACCGCATTTTGCCTGTAATGGAATTCTTTTATAATACAGGTGATTAGAGACTGGACTGACACCATCTTCTACACTGATATGTGTATTTGGATCCTATGCCATGATGGTAAGTTTTGGTAAATGTCAATTGGTCTGAGGTATATTATGATTTACAGAATAACAAGTCCTGTTATGGATTTGTTTACCAAAATATAAGTAGACAGTAGGATAAATAAACCACTATCTTTTGATGAAGCACTACAACATAGTTTAGGAGACCCGAGTTCTAGTCTTAGCTCTGCCATAAATGTGCTGAGACTCCAGGTAGGCCACGTCAGTCACTGGACCTTAGCTTTCTCATTTGTA